TCTGCTGTGAACACAGCAAAGTCCATGGGTGAGTGATAAGAGATAGTAAAGCACTAAAACCTGCTATAGATCAGAATTCAGGGCCTTTAATCTCTTCTTCAAGTGATGCACAGTTGGAAAGCAGTAATTTGGGCAAAGCTGAACTATTTTCTAGTGGAGCAGGCTGGGAAGGTGGCTTGATGAACCCATATGCAAGTCACCTGCACCTCATCAGCATGGATTTCACTTCCTCATGTGGTCTGTGCTTCCCTTTGCTGATTCTTGGAAAATACTCTTCCTCCATGGACTTTAGTAATTTGCATGAATGGAGATGACTGTTCAGTGCTCAGAAACAGGGCCTGTAAGTAAATTTTCAACTTGAAAGCAGTAAGTTTATAGCGTGTTTTAAAGTACTACCAGTGTTCAAGGGTACATAAAAGAGTATCAACATTCAAATGAAATATGGCATGAAGTCATTATGAATGCACTGTGCTGTAGGGAGAGTTCATGCTACCTTGTTTGTTGTGTTTACTTCTTCCCATTGCAAAAACTCTGAAGGTGCACCAATATAAGTGTTGGTGTAATTCCACCATAATGGCCATGCCTGGACTGAATTTGACCTAAAAATACTTAAAATTACTGGTATCTTCTTGCATAAAGTTCTTAATACAAATCTGTGTGCATCTTCATTTGGCTGCATGTGTCTCTGATGCATTCATGTAGCTTGCTCTGTGAGTTACTCTCCCCAGCAACACACAATTTGGGCAATTATTTAGTAGGGCTCCTCTGTGTAATTTCATGCATGACTGACATGCCCTGCAGTCATCCTTATGGTCCTTTGAAGATGGAGGCTGTACAGAGAGCAGCCCTGTGGTAAAGTCCTCGTTCCATTGGAGTTTCACCATTGGCTTCTACGTATCCAAAGTTTCGCTCTAAGCATGTTGAATCTATGAACTGCTCTGAGGGACCAAGAACTGAGATAAGTTTAATTGCCTTGGGTGTTAAGCTCAGTTGTGGTTTATTTTAAGTGTGCAGGGGAAGCACTTCTTGAAGAGTGATTTGAAGAGACAGGCTAAAAACGAGCGTACCCTTGGGAATGGCTGGGGATGGCCTCTTGCAGAGCTCACATCCAGCTCTGCATTTAAAAGGTTGTTATCTAATGAGCACAAGCAATTAATTAGCTAATGAGCACAACAAAATGAGCAGGAGAAATGTGTTTCATCTGCAGTGGCTACTAGAAAGACACGATTTTGAGCTTGAGGCTGCCCTTGCTTTAAGACTGAGGTCATCGCAGGGAAATTAATTCAGGGCATAAATCACAGGGGTTAGATTAGTGTTTGTTTTACTTGAATTCACTTGCTCTCTTATCTCCTCTAGATCTTGCAGCTTCTTAGCTCAGTCATGAACCAGGGAATGGAATGGGTTTAAACAGCCACAGCTTCCCTCCTGAGCACTGGCTGTCAGCCCTCAGGCCTGATTTACCACTGTAACGCAATTATAAAATGGCACAGAGCAATTAATGTGTCTTCCCTCCCCTTTCATGCCAGACAGGAATTCCTGAATTCTTTCTCCACCTTCCTCAGTTGGAGTGATTGTTATAATATAATCTAAACCGAGGTGACTTTATTTGGCTTTAGTCAGGGATCCACCAGACTTGGAGACACAAGGAGCTGATTGTACTTCCTAGTTAGGGACAGTTCTGTGGGCCTACTGCTATTCCCGTGCAAGTACAGGTTGTTTGTGGGCCTCTTTCTGGTTGGTTTTGTGGTTGTGTTTTCCCACCTTTTCAGCTGACAGGGACAACCAGAACAACAAGGAAAAGAGAGAATGAATTACCTACATTTTTCCATCCATTGAGCAAAAACCATGGGAGCTCAAGACATTCCCTCACTACCAGGTGATCTCCCAATTTTCCTGGTGTCAGTCTACCTGATCATCTGCAAATACTTCAGAAAAAACATCTGACATCTGCCAGAGCTCTGATACTGCCTAGATGTACGATTTTTGAGAGTAAGGCCAGAAAGCCAAGGTCTTGGCTTCTGGTAAACACCAGAACCTCTGGACCTGCAGGGAACTGTACCTTTGGGGGATCATCTGCTCACACATGTTCTGCACAGTGTTTAAGAAGATGCTGGTACATAGCACATACTGATGAAAGCAGTGGGAAAGAAAATTTCTGCACATACAAGGATAGGTAAAAGTTATATGTGCAAGTTTTTAAGTTAACATTAAGACTGGTGTAACAACTTTTTTTTTAAATCAAGAAAATTCACTGTCAATTACACCTAATTTTCCTTGCATTTTTTTACTGATGTATTTCACAGAGGATTGAACATATATATTTTTTTATTTTACTCTTTATGAATATGTTTCCTTATGCATAAGACATTGCTCAAACAGTGTACAGGAAATTAGAAATCTTAATGATTTTTTTTCATATTTTCAGGAAAAATGTTGCTCTTTTGAGGGAGGTAAAATAGACTTATGTGAATGAAAAGGAAATATTGATCTCTTTCCCCTTTTCAGAGTCATGGCTATTGTGAAATTAAATTGGAACTGTAGCTAAACACTTTAACAAATTAATAAATGGCATGTTAAGACCCAAGAACACTTTACTTTTTTATTTGCTCTCACAATGGTAGGGATGACTTTTGCTCCTTAATTTAGTTACAAATTTCTCCCTAAGGCTTTGTTTTTTGCTGCCCTCTTCCACCTTTTGCATACCACAGGAAGTAAACTCAGGAGGTTTCACTTATGTGGAATACAAGGAATAATCAAGAGCTGCCAAAAGTTAGAGCAGAGCCAAGACAAAGTGGCACTACCTGAAGGCTGCCTGTGTCCATGGTTCTCTGAGGTCAGGGAATTGTTGTCTTTGTTCCTGATGCTGAGCCTGAGGACAGAGGAACAAGTGCTGCTGAGGTATCTCAGCTGAGGTTTTCAAAGTTGTTTTCTTGTTGGGCTGTCTGCTGTGAACAGCTTTGTAGATCAAAATCCAAGTCTGCTTCCTTTGAGGGGAGAAAGTTTCCCTAGAGGGAAAGGAAACATCTGGGGTCCTGCTTCTTTTCCTTTGCTCAATATTCTTAGTTGTAGATGTGTGTAAGCATGGCTGTCCAGTACCAGAAAATCCTTTCAGGTACACAATGATTTGGAGAGAATTTCTCTCCATATACGTAACCCTCCAGAACTGTTTCAGTTGTTCTTTGCTTTTTGAGATGAAAAGAGATATCTGTGCTGGATCCTCACTTAAATTCCTTTGCAACTCACTGGATTTTGCATTAAATTAAATTTCACATGCTGATTGAGCAGCCAACTCTTATGAGCCTAGAGGAAAGAATATGCTGTTTCTCTGCATTTTAATGTCATGGTCAAGCTGGGGCTAATGCTCCCAGGCACCTCCTTCAGTGTTCACCTCTCGGCCTTTCCATCCTAAATCCAGTATTTTTAAACGAAATGCCTGCATTTTATTACCTTTGTAAGTGGAAAACAACAGCATATGTTCTTTCCCTGTTAGAAAAGGCCTGGATTGTTTTGGTTTGAACTTTAAAATAAAGGTCAGACTTGAGGCAGGCATGAATTCTTGCATGTGTCAGCCCAAAAGGTGAAAGCTTTAGGAAGTTATGAGCAACTGCAAATGAGGCAGCTTCAAATTGCACTTGAAACTGAAACAGCTGTTGCTCAAAGTGTGACATTCAGAGTTATAATGCTAAAGATTCTATATATTACATTCAGGGAGAACTCAAAAATAGAAATTAGTCACTGAAGCAGAGAGAAAATTGGTTTCGGTGGCACATGGTAGAGCAGAAACAGTCTTTATGTTAATGGCACAGGGAAAAGATTGTGGGAAAGCCCAAATATCGAGGTGGATGTAAGAAAAAGTGAACAGAGAGAAGACAAAAGAGACCAGGGGAGCCTAGGGGAATTTCTGAAGAAGGATTTTGCATTGCCTCCTTGCAAGAGAAAGTTAATTGTTTTGGGGCTGGAATTCACAGCTCTGCATCACAGGGACTTAACGAGGCTGGTGGATTACCTCGCTCTGTGGTCTCAAAATGCTCTGACAGGTTCATGTGTGTCAGGCAAACGTTATGGTAATTTTAGTGCTTTAGGGGCTCTACAGGAGTACATAAATACCACCCTAGCCATCCAGATGACTTTAAAACTTAATTACTACCCCACTCAATAATATTCTCCCCCACACCACTGCTTTAGAGGATCACAGGGTTAAAAGAAATCATTAATCTTCCTTAATGAAGCTATTTTCTAGCAGGAGACAGAATGTCTTGCCTCTGTGGATTCTGAGATGGAGTTTTGGTGAGTGTTATGAATGGGGGAGTGGGAAGCAAGTGCTAGAGAAAAAGCAGAAAAGGGGGTGGGACCCAAAATGCTAGTAGTGGGAGAACCCCCTGACTCACAGCCCTTTCCTGAGTTTAGCTAAAAGAATGTAATAATTATGGGGGAAGAGGAATGAACCCTATTAAAAACTGACTAAGTTGGCTGTGTAACAGTGTTCCCACCACAACTACTAATTATTGGAATACCAGCATTTTATATATATACATTTAGACCAGATTTTATATAACTGAGACAAGAGCTGTCTTGAAATTGTGTTTCTCCAGAGGAATCTAAAGCAGATTGGTGGTGGCAGAGTTCGAGTCTTTGCTTTTAAGCGTCAAGGTGGATCCATGTCCTCAAAGCTGCTTTTCCTGGGATTGTACTGTTTTATATTATGATTAAATGGCATGAAAGTGTCTCAAAATCTCTGTGACCATCCCAGTGCAAATCCTTCCTTTTTCACCCACTCAAGGGGATGAAAACCTGCTCTTAAAACAGTGCAAGGAGCACCGAGTCCATGGCTCCTGTGGTACCCGCTGTGCTGGGCACCATCACCTGCCTCTTGCCAGGGCTGGCTGTGGAGGCAAGGATGGCCTTCCCTTTCTGCAGTTTGTGTCTGTTTGATGTTCCCTTCAGCGGGGACACTGAAGTGCTTTTGTTTCTCTGTTTTTTGTGCCCATCCCCGGCTGCAGAAGATGCTGGACGAGTGCCAGGACAGGCGGAGCTGCCAGTTCCTCGTCAACAGCCGGCTGTTCGGGATGGATCCCTGCCCCGGGACTGGCAAGTACCTCCTCGTGTGGTACAAGTGCAGGCCAAGTAAGTATTCCTCTATCAAATCTGTTTGCTCCGTTGACACCAAAGCATTTTCATACTTAATACTCATCAGAGAGGCCTTCTAGGATTTCTTGTTCCCTTCCACCTCTTATTTTCAGTGGAAGATAACTCCCAGGGTGGAGTGTTTCCCTTTCCCTCTCTCTTGCTTCCCTGCTGGGATGCTCCTGCTCTGCCTCCCTCCTGCTTGCCCCAGCCAAGCTCAGGCTGGTTCTGCCGGTGCCAGTGCCAGTGCCAGCCCTTGCCAGTGTTCAGCTCATGCTGTCACTGGTGGGTGGCTCCTCCTGCTCCCACCTGCAGCCACCCTCCTGTCCTGGTGGGTAGAGGGACTCGTCCCCTCTCTGCTGCCCCTCCAGGGACAGCGGGTGCTCCTTGCCTGGGCAAAGGCTTCCTGAGCTGGGTGCCCCAGACTGGCCAGGTTGGAACCTCACCTGCCCACACCGTGCCAGAATCCAGCTTTTAATTGCTCCCAGATCAGGCTGGGAAATGTTACCCTGTGTTTTGCATGATCTCATTAGCTGTGTTTAAATTAAACGGGGCTGGATCCTGGGGGTACAGGCATGCATGCTGTGGAGTCCAGAGCAGCTCTGGCTCAGGACAACCAACATGCTCTTGGCCAATTCCTGGTCCCAGCAGGGGAATTAGCACAGCCTAGACACCATTCTCTATCAGGGCTTTGGAAGGAGATACATTATTTTGGAGACAGATCATGTTTGATGTGGATAAACTGTGCCCACTGATGTCAGCTGGAGAACAGGACCTGTTTCTATTTGAGCTCAAGTTTGATGAGGAGCATCTGAGGAAGCTGGGGTGCTTAGCCTGGAAAAAGGAGGCTCAGGGAGGACCTTATCACTCTACAACCACCCGAAAGGAGGTTGTACCAAGGTGGGGGTCAGTCTCTTCCTCCAAGTAACAAATTATATGACAAGAGATTGCCTTGGGATGCACCAGGGGAGGCTTAGGTAGGATCTAAAAACTGAAAGGACGGTCAAACATTAGAATAAGCTGCTTTGATCCACCCTTCCAAGGGAAGTGGTGGAATCTGTGGTTGGAAATATTCAAAAGTGTTAGATGTGGTGCTTAGGGACGTGGTTTGGCAGTGGACATGGCAGTGCTGGGTGACTTGGTGATCTTAGAGATCTTTTACAACCTTAATGATTCTATGAATTAACTGGACAGGGCAATTAGCCTGGACATAGCATTTCAGACCAGCCTCAAGATTTTTAGATAACATTACTAACATGGCTCCAGCATCACATCAGCAGTATTTTGGGAAATAAACAAAAAAAGGGAAAGTTTTCACAAGAAAGAAAAACAGATCTGACTTCAGAAAAGGTTTAAAACAAAAGCAGAAACATTCAGACTGCCAGCAGCAGTACAGAAGAGGACTTTTTGCCCCAGCAGGCAGAGACCTGTGCTAATGCAGTGAGGGGGTCTGGCAAGATCTGTGTGGAATTCAAATCAGAAGTAGGTAATGAAGCACCTGCATTTGTTGTGGGATTTTCGTGGGTGATTGTAACATCCCTTGTTGGGTGAGAAATGCATCTTTTCGAGAGGAGTGATTAGCAGGGTGTTCTGACAAGTCCTTCTGAACCTGCAGGATTTGTATCAAAGCTCACTTGAAAAATCTGACTATTGAGGCCTGTGCTGAACTTCTGAAGCTACTTCAGGACCCATCTGTGCATTAGTATTTATGGCTTGGCATTCTTTGCTAATTATAGATATAGTAGAAAAGAAGGGGTTTGTCAGATTGTAGAGTAGGGGATTTTCCTGAAAGAGACCAGGGGAAGCTGCTCGAAAACATTTCCCCAAGACATTTTTCAGGCAGCTCAAATTTTGCAGAGTGAAACATGGTAATCTTTCAGAAATTATTGTTTCTTAGTGATTGGGCAAACTTTTAATCAGAACCCTCTAGATTACTAACAATATTTGAAATATGGGAGAATTAGCCCAGAGATACCAGGTCATAGCTGGGTTTTTCCTGGTGATTCAAAATGCTAATTTTGAGTCTCACAAACAGTATCTAGTGCTGTTATGATTTCAATAAGCCTTTCCACCTTTCCATAGGGAGAAGACTAATGAGGGGACTGAGTAATGAAGTAATGATGCATTCATAAAATGTGAAATACAGGACCAGAAGAAATTTTGGTGGGTTTTTTGGGTTATTGACTATTTGGATATTGTTTATGAGCTGTAAGTAAATATATGCTTCAGAGCTGAACCCCAAGACTGTGGTCCCCTGAAGTGTTGAGCTGTTCCAGAAAGTGTGAACACACAGAATTGTAATCAGAGTCCTTGTGAAGAACTCACTGCCTGGCACAGGATTTGATTCATAACTTTATCAAAAGACAAATACAATTTTTTTGATTCTGTTTCTGAATTTGTCTTTCTTAACAGGAGACATAACAGAAATACTTTGATAAGAAGCTATTTAAGGTCTGAATTGTCTTGATAGGCATATCTCTTTGTTTTTGTTGCTTATTGAGGGAGCCTGTTATGATCCTGTCACTAAAGTAGGTGTTTTAGTTAAGCACCTACCTGGTTAAAATGAGTGTGAATTTTCTTGTGTACAGGTGTTAGAGGCACTTTGGAAAGTGGCCTGCAGAGTTTGAACAGGACATCTTTAATATAAAATAAGGACACACAGACTCTTCCATTGTCAGAGTCATGCTGAAACCTCAAAAGGCCTCTGAACAGAGGCAGTTATCCAAAGAGAAAGAATTCCTTGAAAGAAAGCAAAACTGAAGTTAGTGGCATTTGCTTGTACCTTTGCTGAGGAATTAAGAGATGGTGCAGTCATCCCCTCGAGCCACTGTCACTGCAGTTTTGTCTCCCTGACATTCCCCTGCGTTTGAAATCGAGTGGTTCCAATGCTCATTTGCTGTGTGGGGTTCATGCACAAGGCAAGGTGTTATTTTGGCTCCTCATGGACAGAATTTCAAGGAGATGGAGGACAGTAAATCAAGCTGAAACTGAAAGACAAATATTTTTCAGATGGGGGAGCTCTGGGGAGCAGGGCAATGAGGGGATGACTCCTGTACTCATCCCTCAGAAACTGCTCTTGCTGGAAGCAGGGAAAACTTGTGCAGAGGTGTTGCAGCTCACCTCCTGTAGAAATTAAAATAAATAGTTCAGAGAAGTGCATGCTTAACGAGAAGCAGTGAGAAATGAATTTGCTTGTGTGTTTTTTGGGAAGCCTTGTACTATTCACGGTCTCCTCCAATCCAATAGATGGATCTGGGATGTAATGGACACTCATCTTGCATGTAGAGGACTCAGATATGTGCACTGAACTACTTTTACATGTCAGGAGTTTGGTGGTCCTGCTAATTCTCTGTGCCTGTAAATAGATAAATACATTATATGTGTGTACTTTTAATTTTAAAGTTTAGGATGTTTAAGGAAATCAGAAATGATCAATAAAATACTCTGTTCTGTCTCAGTTTGGGGCAAGGGAGATTTACTTAAAACTACAAAGTTTCTTGGGGGCCAAGGTTCACTGAAGTGTGGAGAAGCTTAGATTTGTTTCTAGTTGACGTGGTAGTGTTCAATCAAAGTTTGGACTTAATGATCTTGGTCTCTTCCAACCTCAATGATTCTATAGTTTATTTTATTTCTCTATGTGTGCCTTAGTTTCTAATGTGCATCTCCCTTTGGGGGGATGGTCAAAGGCACAGTACAGATCTCAGCAGAGCACAGCTTGTGCTTCTTCCCTTGGAGGTGCCTCTGCAAATCCTCCTGCTGTCTGCAGGCCCAGCAGAGCCCCTGCAGGCTCCCTGCAGCTCAAGGTGGGGATGTGCAGCTGCAGCACTGACACCTGGAACTGTTCTCTGCTAGTGTCATGTAGTTCAGCATTTAGCACTGGCCAGAGATGGTTTCCACTGGGAAGTCTGTGTGTGGGCACCTTGTTTTAGAGGCTAAAAAAGTTGATGAGAATGGTGGTCCCCACACCAGTGGGCCTCGGTGGCAGGGAATGGGCACATTCAATTTATCAGGGCCAATGTATCCTGAGATCCACATCCAAAGCACACTGAAACCTAGGATCAAACCCTGAACACACAGGGGGCTTAAATCTCCAGGGCACCTTTCAGGATCATTAAAAAATTGCACATAAATCCAATTATTTCCCAGGTAACATGCTGATTTGATTTAGACCTATTAAGTGTAATTACCGGGTGGGCTGCAGGAACAGATAATTAGAGGGAATTGACATACTATTTAATTGGTCTAACATGAATTCCCTCTAACTGAAATCTGGATTCACCAATTTTATTCAAACAATTCAGTGTTTGTTCATCCCCCTCACTTCAGAGACAGAGAACCGTGTAAGATTGTGTGTTATTGTAAGCTAGGAAATATTTGCTCCATGTGCCAGACTTTCTGGAGGAGCTGTGTGATCTAATCCTGACTGGGAACAGGACCTGTGGGGCTGCCCAAGTCATGCTGAAGAAACAACTTCAGCTCTCTGCATCCCAACAATACCAATGCAGCTGATTTTATTTGGTTTGGTCTCTGCTCTGGCCTATTGCACCAACAGAGATTCATCTGCCCCTGCACAGCAGCACTTTGCCTGTTGTGACTTTTTGTTTGGTTGGTTTTTTTTCTGGATTTGCTGTTTCAAAAGTGTCAATGCTCCTGAACAAAATGGAGACATAAATGTTTGCCCTGCTTTGCAGAGGGAATACTTAGGATGAGATGTGTTGTCTGAGTGGCCATTTCAGGCAGTGCTGTCGAGAAGAGATGGTTCCTACTTTATGTATTTGACTTACTCCATGAGACCCCCACATAGTACCTTTCTTCTTTGTCCTCCTTTGCCATTGCCACACTGGATGAACTGATTCCTTCTCAGCTCTGAAGAGCCTAAAGCTGCAGCTTCCCAGAAAATGCTACAGTGATATTTTCCCACTTTTCTTTTTGGCAGTTACTACTTTAGCTTTTGACTTCAAGGACTCTGGGAAGGATAATCTACATCCAATGTTGGGGTT